CTGATCATTCAATTAGGAAGGACTCTAAAACATGTCAGTCAATTCGGCTCAACACATCTATGTTTAACACTTTTTGAGTTTTCGGCACTTTTGAATAATGCCAATCTAATCATTGTTTAGATAATGAATACCCATTTTATCCGTTCAAAGCGAGTAACCGCTGATTTAGTTGACAACAGTCTCTCATGCGCAGAGAGCTTACCAAAAACAAAAGAAAGTACGAAAAAATGTTGTCATTATACATAGCGCCAAGTCTCAAATCGAGTTACACCACTGCTAGAACAAAGATTGTGATTTGATTCGAAATAATAAAGAGAGACAGGCAATACAAAAAACAAACAAACAAAGATATGCAACAGAACAATAGCCATTGTCTGACATAATCCTACAATTCTTTAATTTTTTTGACTCGATCAATCATAAGCTTCGTTCTGACGGTGGTGACCGACGCCTCAAATCGGAGAAGATTCAAACTTCTAGAGYTATTGTAATGTCAACATTTTTTCGTGCTTTCTTTTGCACTGTACACGCTTTAAACTGGAGAAAGGCTTCTTCATAACCTTCAGAGAGTTAAAAAAGCTGGCTCGAAAAAATATACAACAACAATGCAGTAGAGAAAAAAACGGTGATTTGTTTTAGGCGGCAGCTACTTTCTCAATAGTGCCTCTTATTATATAGAAAAATAACACCAGTCTCATTGTTCAATTGACGGGCCGTACCGACCTTTAAAGGCTTTGTATTTTTCTTAAAATGCTATATAATAAATATCTTATTAACCTTATTAAATTAGGGAACCTATGGTAATAAGACTGAAAAGATCATGTCCATAACTTCCCATGTTATCCAAGTAGCGAAGATAATAAGATTTATAAATGAAATTTTACTACTATTGACCATGTTCGAGCAGGGGACTGGCACTAGCTATAGCAAATAGTGCTTTTCCCTCAAATAAAAAAACATGACCACCTAAACCACATGGTACTATGTTGATATACATTGTGAATAAGAATCAGTGAGGAACCCGTGATAAATTATAACGACTTTTACTTCTGGATGGACAGCTGTCGATTCAGCCATACTTTTCATTCTCACCCGCTTCTCGCTTCTCTCTGTTCGCAGAGTAATTTAGCCATACATTCCTTGTAAATTTCAATATCAATAGCAGTATAGCCATTACTCATATTGTCATCAAAATGTGTAGATTARTGAATTTTGATGAGCTGTTTCTCATTATGGTGTTTATWTYAAAATTGCTTTCAGTAAATCTTGATGAAAAATAAACTATTTTGATTTAGTGCCCAGTCCCCTACTCCTTTAGAACATGGCTAATTAATGTACTTCTCTAAAGCATTGTTGTTGTATCATTTTACTTACAATATTTTCTGAGATGGGAATTGATTTTATTTATGCAGATCTTCCACTCTCTGCTCCTGTCCTCCGTGGGATATAGTGAAAACACCTTGTTTTCAATATACGCCAGAGCGTCTGCATTTACGCATCGTYTCCCCTTTCCGCCATTCACAGTGCAATTTGAAAGTTCTTCTTTGCAAGAGTACATCAGCCTTAGGAGCTTCACAGMGAAAGCARATYTGTTATYTGGAAGCTTTAGGCGTASTGCTTCGATTKCCTCRTCACTTGGTATAGAGGATGGTGGAGGATGGTTGAAGTTCAACGTTGGCAGAGTCAGATGGGGAAGATGGAAAGCTCCGGAGAGTGGCGGAAGACCAAARAGTGACGTGTTCACAAAAGGGATCATCTGATCTTGCACATCTCTCGCGGGTTGTTGCGTTGGCTGGAGTAGTTGTAGCTGCTGTTGCTGCGGATGTACCAATGGTTGCACTGGATTTTCTTGTTGTACTGCATGATTTTCTTGTTGCATTAGAATTTCTTGTTGTTCCGCTTGTTGTTGTACTACTTCATCTCGGTTTGTAAGAAATTCGTCCATTCTTTGCTGCATTGCTTGCAGAATTCCCAGACATTGTGTTTGACCGGTTAGCAGCCGTTCAACTTTATTTTCCAAGGTTGTGAGCCGGTCTTTGAATTCCCTCATTGTTGGTGTCTGCATGAAGGAAGCCAAATCCGGCAGCACAAACGGAGATGTTTCCTCAGGTGTTTCTGGGACTCTCTCAATTGTATTCGGGGGAGGGGTTATGCAGGATAAGGCATTAAGATTTTCCATGTCGTGTGTTCCAGTGTTTCTATGCCATTTTTGAGAATTTCTCTTTCTGCTGTTCTCAGAATGTGTTCTTGCTCTGTGATGAAAAGCAATTCATCATGTTAATTGAGTTCGTAATTACCAAGCTCTTGCCGGAATAATTCCTTACCACTTAGTTCGACGATGCGGGCAACAACGTTATGCTCAAGTGCCCAATAAAGACGTACGTACTCCCCTTTTCTGATTTTATGATTAAATCCCTCGTGGACGATGGCTGTCTTGGCCACCCCCACTTGTTTCGAAACAAGAAAAAAATACAGAGCGTATTTTGGGATACGTGTTCTATCACGTGATGACATACTCGTGCCTGCAATTGATTAACAGCACAAGTCAGTCTGATGTTATTTGAATTTCTAAATCTATAGAAAGTAAATGATATGACAAAAAAAGGAATTTCTTTAAGATTAGTTGTAAAAAAACTATGAAAATTAGCAGATTTCTTGATTCCGAGGATGAAGATGATAAAATACGAAAGTACGGGCATTAAATACAAGAAAAACAAAATACAAGAAAAAGTCGGAAAGGCTATCGGTTTTTTTCTCTATACAGCTACCGATGACACACTTGACTGTGATTGGCTAAAAAAGTTCGTACTTGTTCGACTTCGTGAGATGCGCTGTCGTCATCCTGTAAGTTCGTTATTGCTTGAATGGAGCACAAGTTTGCTGGATTACAGTTTTATCTGGGAGCCAAAACTAAGGTAAGGTTTTTACAAATTGGGGTCCAAATTGAATCGAATTTAGTATTCCGACTGATAAAAAAGAAAGGTTTATAAAACTATACAGTTTTTACACGATATTTTACTTCCTTGAGGGCAAGGAACACGTGTTGAAGTTTTGTCATCGATTTTGTGATAAATTGAACATAACTTTTTGTACCATTCTTCAACTCAAAACTAGAGATTAATAGCAAAAAGGATTGCTTCATTTAGTGATAAGATAGTCGAGTCCTTTTAAAACGACGTATTTCTCAATAATTATGGCCCACACATGCCAAGGTCTGCCAGCATTTTCAAGTTTTTTATCGGAGTACTAAGAGCTAGTCTACTCAGTGTCGACTATAGTGGCAAGTCTAAGTTAGCTTAAGGTATTAGATCTGTTAAAACGATCAAAAAAATACTGTTACTTTTTATGGTTTTATTGTTTATTTATATTAATTAGAACACATATTCATTGATTCTAGTCGGAGATTCTATAGTTATGCCTTAGAAAATACGGCTAAAAGATGTATCTAAGGAAGCCATTTTGTTGTAATAAGAGAGCTTGTAATGCTACTCGATCGCTCCGAACATGCGTATTGGCGATTCTCTACGTAACACACGCGCGACATCACCGGCAGGAAACTTGAAGCCGGTTTCAGCAAGAATGAATGCGTGTTTTCACACCTTCGCATTCTTCGGTGGTCATCATGGACTCAACAAGGACCGAGAATGCTCTTCTAACTTTCAATGCGGAATTTGTAAAAAAGGGGTAAGTGATGGAATAATTTTGTTGTGCAAGATTGTGACGTTATTATTCATCCAGTTGTGCACTTGTTTTAGTCTTGGAAGTGCTCCTGACGGGCTACTACAGCTTTTACGAAGTTACAAACTGAAGGTAGACGAGTCGCCAAACCAAATGCGGCACAGGATTTACAAAAGACTGTGGTGCATTATGTGGGTAAGTTGAATTGAACGGTTGTTTATAGACGTATTCAGCGTATTTAGTCAATGATTTCAGCGTATTTAGTCAATGATTTCACCGCAACGATTTCAATCGCGAAGTCGGTAAAAGTTCGTAAATCGCGTAACCATGCAATCTGAGATATACTTACATTTTCCTTTAGTACGGAGGAAAACTTGGCAAAGAGGCGGCTAAGGGCGATCAGCCAACATATGTGTACCCGATGGAATTAAAGGCAGTTGTACGTGGAATCATTCCTGGAGAGCTCTCCGACTTTCCAGATCCGACTGGACCACGTGTAAGTATTTCTGATGGTATTTCTTTACAATGTGTTATGCCAACAAAAACACCGTCGTATATGATACTTATTTGAACGTACTCGGCTTCTTCAACTTATAGAAAGGAGCCTAAAGAAATGTTGCATTTGAATTACAATAAAATCGAGGATCATCTATCACTAATGTCCGAACGCCGGCATTTATACAACTTTCCCGCGCATTTACTCAAAGGTGATTCAAAGGACAATGTGTGTTCCTCTTCTGCGAAATATTTGAAACCAAATAAAGCAAATATTTTCAAATAGTAATTGAAATTATAACGTAAGCCAAAGCTCTTATAAGAAAATAGATTTACAGAAAAGACGGCTATATACAGTGATTCTTTTACTCACACAACGCATCATAGCGCAGTCAATGAAGCGAAGCGTGTTGCACTAGTATAGATTTGGCATCCGAGTTTGCAAATGTCTTGAGTACACAGAAATATTTCAACTGATACATCAATGAACGTGTTATTGTTGATCTCTCGATGATCTCTTGTGTTCTAACAGGGTTTTATACTGTACATTGAACATAAGAAGTTTTATCATATCAAAGTATACTGTATTTCTCATACATTGTTTAGACAATGTCAATGTCCTACTCACATTCAGAATTTTGTATGATAAAATTCCTTTTGTTTACTATAACTATTATACTGACCATCATTCCAGTATTAAAATAACTTTATTTCTCATCTGTAGATTTACCAAGTCTCACTCAAAGACCTGGCAAATGCAAAGTGGCCTGTCTCCAAAAAGAAGAAGACATAATTATAATATAATTTTATTGATGTGTCTTTCTCTAGTGATTTATGACAGCATGCGGCATATTATGTAAAAGTTGAATATTTGGTTTGGACAGTTCATTTGAGTTGAATAATACAAACTAGTGTAGTATTTCTTACAAATGGTAGTATTTCTTACAAATGACAATATGATTGTATACAGCATGGCGCCTCAGATTTCACTCGTAATTGAACTATCAAAATATCCAAAGTATATTTCTGTGCTTTGATCTTGATATATAATTCTTATTTGTTTACAAATATGACATTGCAGGCTGTCAATGAATCTTGTTGTCACAGTATAAAAGCTAAATAGAAAGAATCCACATGTTGGTCAATATATAAAATGTTACTTTATTTACACAATAAACTGTTTATGAGAAATTACAGTGTGCATAATAAGATTTCATAATAATATAAAATATAAATGTGCATAATACTATGGAAATCACTAGAGTGGTAGATATATCTCATTGATTCTGTACCACATGATCAGCTTTTAGTGTATCATGTGATTGCTTCTAGCCAATCATAACACTCAAAACCAGTCATGTGGTACAAAAAAGGCAAAGTTTTGAGCTGATGTTGTTTACCAGTCTAGTGATTTTCATAGTATGATGAAATGGCACAGCCAACTAAGATTCACACTATATCAATCGGCTATATTTCCAACCAACTCTTATTACTGGTAATGGACTTCATTTTCAATGAATTTCATTGTATTCCTATTTTTAGCTGCATTTGTACAAATGAAAGTCCCTTTTCTACAGGATTTGCATTGGATGACAACGCTGTACACTAACTGATCAAGTCTATTACCAATAAATAAGAAATAGCTTTGAAAATACTCAGGTTTGGTTAACCAAAGATGATTATTCTTATATGGCACTAGTATTCTCACATTCTTTAAGAAATGGGATATCTGCAAATCTTTTCATATTTTATATAAATATAGTCCCTGGCAGTATTATTTAGCTTTTGATTTCTTATTCAGTGGACATGATTTATGAGAAGTTCTTTGATGCTCGGTGCTTCCACACTTACACTTCTTCCCACTAATGGTTACACGTGCACCTTTGGGAGCTTTAACTTCATTATAGACTATTTTTGCAGGTTTCTCTGCTAGCCTTCTCTGCACTTCTTTTAGTGTTTCATTTTCATCGGTCTCTTCATCCCCATATCCATGAACAATTTTTTGTTGTAAGACAAACTTTCTCCTGTAAAGCAATTATAAATTATAAATAATTATGTCGTTACTACTTTATTAGCACTTCTTCATTTTATCTGTAACTATAAATAATACTGTACAATAATTATTGGACATCTATATAAAGTGGTTTTCCATCAACCATGAAAAATTAGTGAGAATAATAGTTGCCAGTAGACTTCAAACCCATCGCTTTCTTTTGTTCTGTATCAAATAGTACTAACTAGTTGATCTATTTCTTTGCACGGTTGATGGAAAACCTGGTATATAATATTTTGGGATAACAGATAAAAGAATACTTCCTACACATTTTTATAACCATAACCATATCACGTTTATATTATTATAGTTGAGCAAAAAAATGTAAAAAAAAAAAATTCTTTTAGCCATAATCATAATTCAGATTGTAATCTGCAAAATTGGAAAATAAACAAATCTATCTATCTATCTAGTCTTTGCACATAATACATGTGTTATAGACATTTTTTGTGTAATCAGTACCAAAGTACATTACCTGGTTTTGCTTTCCTTCATGCGGTTTTGCTTCAACTTCACTCGGGCAATCTTTGCCTTGTCTGTCTTTTGTTTATTAAGACGTTTCATTCGCTCTTCATTCTCTGTTTCCCATATGTCTTCTATGCCCTCTGGGAGTGGCAAGTTCATCCTCTCTAGGAGATCTCGCAGCCAGTGGTATTTGGGACCAACATGTTTATACATGAAGGTTATATTACTTTGGCAGAGACCGATGTTGGTGGAAAACTCGTAATGAGTTTGGTGTAAATTTGTGCTCTTGGGTCTGAATCTAGTGAGCACACTAAATTTACTCTCAGGTAGATTAGAGTGCCCACGACCCATCTCCTCATGCACAATATCCTTAGCCTTCTTGGCTTCTCGCTCGCATTCAATCTCGTAGAGAAGGGCATGGAAGTCACACTTCAAAATGTTCCTTGCATGGTATGGCTTGCCAGCGCACTTGAATAAATCATCCTCCTCTTCATCACTGTCTTCACTTTCACTGTCTCCACTTGCATCATCTTTACTCTCATCTTTACTCTCATCTTCACTCTCATCTTCACTACTGCTGTCCTCTTTTGATACATTCACTTGACTATCATTTCCGGCGTCTTCACATTCACTTTCACCACTGCTGTCCTCATTTGATGCATTCACATTACTATCACGTCCACTACTACCACTTTCCTCACTACTATTATCTTCACTTCGGTCACTGCCTTCAATCGTACTATCATCACTTATATTTTCACCAACCTCTTCACCACTACTGTTCTCTCTCGATACTTCTTTCCCATTTTTTTCATCAACGTCATCATCCTTTTCACTCTCATAACTTTTCTCACTGCCATCACATTCTTCTGCTTCCTCACTTTCCAAAACACACTCACTTCTTTCTACATTTTCCTTTTCTTTCTGCCCACATTTACCACACGAACACACAAACTTAGGATGAAATCCACAAGTCAGCTCGATGTTGTTTTCGGTCCACTCATGGATATCTCTTGCATGGTATTTCCCCAGGCACCTCATCCTATGGCCATATTCCTCTGGGTCATTTTGGCTTTGTTTCAAAGCAGAGAAATGATTGCGTTTGGCTGCTAGTATAAAACTATCATTTAAACATCCACAGTTTTTGGAATGTTTCTTTCCAGCGCATACACATTTTACTTCTGCGATCTTTGGAAATTTCTCCTTATGTTTGTCTATGAAGGCCTTCTCCAGGTGTTTCTTCCCCTTATACTCTTTTAAATTGTTTCCGTGAGAACGGCCAACATGTCCACCACAGAGCATTATACGGTTGAGACTGTCATCCGGAAAGATGCTCCTGAACGACAATCCGGATGAAGAGTCTTGATCTTGCCAGTTAAGTTCAACATTCATCCCTTCATCCTTTGCCTGTTTAAAGAGCTCATAGGCCAAGTGCCCCTCTGCTGACTTCGATGTCCCTTCCCACAGATCAGTGTCACTTATTCTGTTTGAGCCCCTCATGCACAAATGGCCGTAATATAAAATGCCACCTGTCAGGAAGTCGACGATGACAAAGCTAGCACACTGGCTATGAAAACCGCGAATTAGCCAGCAACCATCTGAACTCGTAACAGCTCTTTCCCAGCTTCCAAGAGTGGTTTTGTCTTTCTTCATCACTACATTTTTTGCCTTGTTGCACATGTCCATAAGAACATCTCGTGCATGTGGATGGGCCACTTTAAGGACATTATAAAAGTTACTTTTGGCCAAAATGTTAATTCCAAGTCCCATTCGTAGGATCTTGTGGTACATTGGATAACCATGTCCGTACACAAGGAAACAAATGGCAACCGCCCATGAAACCAACTGCCGTTTTGACGCATCTAATGCAACTTTGCTACTTGCAAAATGGATTGTGTTCTGGCATCCAGAGCATGCAAATGCAATTTTGACTCCTCCTCCAAGGCCTTTTACCTTTCGCTCTATTGGCACTAGCTTTCCTACAAGACAAAAAGGTAGTCTGTAAATACATAACATGTAACTGAATATTCTTTGCATTCAAACCATGACAATTTGTATCTGATAAAAAGTTTGATATTCTATAGCTTCAATCAAAACACAAAATTATTTCCTGAGTGCATCAGTGCTGGCTCAAAAGAAGAACCTTATTTTCTAGATGAATGGGAACTAGCGCTTAGCTAGTGTGAGCTGCGTAGGTGTTTCTAGAGAAACAATTGTGTAATAATGTAAATTGAACTCGTAAAAAAGTGCAAAAATGACGTTTTTGGACGCTAGTCCTTCGTCGTTATTTTCTAGATGGTTTATCAGTACAGTGTGCTTAGAAAATAGCTCATCTCAAGTCGCAGCATTATAGTTTTGTTTATGTTTGCTGACAGACTCAAAAGAATATTACAACTGGTCTACATTAGGTACCCTGGCAAAGGGAATAAAGCACTCCTGAAAATGGTTTATAGTTTAAAAGTGCAGTCAGGATTCACCACAGCTACAGTATTTGTTTTTGTTTACTTTGATATATTTATTTTACAAAAAAACTGAAAGCTTACAGACTTTTGGTCGCAACTACAACCTTCATTAGTTGTAGAGAACTAAAGCAAATGAAATAAAACCAATAAGCTGAAGATAACTACCTAAATATTGAAAACATGGGTCATACCTGTACATTCTTCTGCAGCTGAAGTGCACTGGTGAGTCAAATTTATTTGGTCAACAAAGTCTTGCAATTGGCATGTCATGCCAATGTAATAGTTTACTGGTAGTTCTATCACTTCCTTTATGCTTTGATCTATCATTACACTAAAAATAGAATGGTAACAAGGATAAGATACTGATACAGTTGTAGCTCTAAATATAAAATAAATGCACCTAAACATTAGTAATCTAGCTTACTGAAGACATACATTTGATTTGGGAGAACATTTGTCTTTTTGGTTTTATCTACTTCATCGAATGGCAAATGTTTACTATTCACTTTGTACAGTAAATTATTGCAATATTGAGTTTTGTAAAACAGCACAACACTCGTTGAAACTTTTCAAGAGCTTTCACACTTAAAATTCAACGTTGAAGTGAACGGCGATTTCGAAAATCACTTCTTTTCACCGGTTTAAGTTTATTTAAAGCAATAACTTCTTGAACTCTCAGAACATTTTTTACAGATCAATACTGTGCCACTCACCGCTTTGGTTGCTTTTCAGGCGAACAGTCATCGTTTGAAGGGACATAATCAGCATCGTCTTCTTCGTCAAATAAAGGTTCTTCGCTCTGAAGGAACGACTGGACAGCCTTCGATGAGAAGAACTTCTTTCCCTGCTTGTTGGTCCATCTGAATCCTTTGCCATATTCCTCTACTGTCCAACCATTTCTTATCAGTTGGTCATTACAAAATGGCAATCTCACTTCCGCTCCAACACCACGAATACTGTGTCCCTGATGGGAAGACGCTTTGTCTTCAAAAGACATAACTTACGTACAACTGGACCCGTAAAACTTCCTTTTCGCAGAGAAATCCGATATATTTTTAAGATAAACTATATAAACTCTATAAAAACTCTATAAAAACTCTATATAAACTCTTTAAAACTTTGCAAACGTCAAGATGAGATAAATCAAGGCTTCGGTATGAGGGTTTCGTGTAACATGTGTTCACTGCGCATGTGTACTACTCGTTGCTATGGATGACATCATTGTTGACATCCTCGCGCAAAGCTCGTACACGTGAGATTACAAATCGGCTGATTTCCGACCTTTTTTGGCATTGTTACGTACAATTATCGACTACAGAATGTTCGATACGACTTCACATCGACTTCCCATCATGCATGCAAAATGGCGGACGTGATTTGTTGCGAAAGATTCGAATTACATGTTAATTTTCAACGGGGAGTCACAACCAAGAGTACGCGTTTCATGAAAACAACTCCTTCTTTTTTTCCCCTATTAAGCTAAAACTTGGCAAAACACTACTACGATTTCTTAGGAAAATTCTGACCGCAGCCCAAATTCATTGAACGTTTCGCTGATTTTTAAGACAAGTTAAATTAGAGACATAAATTGATTCGTCCTCGTTTCTCCTATAAAATAGCCACCGAATTGGGCTGCGGTGAAAATGTTTGTTTTAATCTAAACCACAAAGACAATAAATTTCATTTGAAAAATTTTATTCTTTCGCGAGATATCGGACAAAAAACATTTTCAAAGACCTGGGTTACCTGTCCTGCTTCGACACCTTAGGTGTGAATTTTGACGCCCAAAATTATTTTTTCTTGTAGTAAAATCTATGTATTACCTGATCGTGGTGGTTTAATTCATTTATTCCCTATAGTTCTTTTTATAATATTTTTCAAATGACACCCATTTTAGCCGGATCTAATACCTTAAACGAAGAATAGCGTAAAGTTTTGATTCATTTGATAATATTGTGAAGTTTATGTGCATAGCTCACATCTCTATTTATATATTAAAACTACTTTCTCAAGAAATGCGACAACAAAATTCAACTCCCAGCAATACGTGCTGAGCTAAACAGTATTTTTAAGAATATTGCGAATTTCAAAAGTCGTCCTACAAATGAAATGACCTATACCTGCTTTACATTTTTTTAAACAAAAGTCTGGCAGTGCATTTTCTGTACCTGATAAATTTTGTAGTGAAACTACTTTCAAACACATTTAGTGGAGTACAAAACTAACACTGAGATGAATTGTGAAAAGTCTACGGGAATTCTTTCCTTAAACAATAATATACGTTATAACTGCAATAAAGTTGATGTTCGAGGGCGTAAATGTGTTTTTCTGACAGATTGAGGCTCGTTTTAGCCCTTCGGTGCATATTTTCATGGTAAAATTCACTCTTTCCTAATTTACGATTGAGTCTTGGACTAAAAATAGATTTTTCAAAATTTGGACWTAAAAAAATGTACAAAAAGAAAGTAATTGAAAAATTTTGCCACATTTTCCTTGATTTTCACCTGGTTTTGCCCATCATAAGTCGAGGAGATCACAAGGTTTGCAAAAGTATTTGAGCTTATTGGCATTTGAATGKCTTCCGCATTTCATTGGTCATTCCTGTTCTTATTGGCCGACTGGAACAAAATCTCTTTTGGTCCTGATTTTTTCCATTTTAGACCGCAAAATGCGTCAAAATCCAATATAATAAGGATGGTAATGGTAATATTCAGTAATCACGAGTCAGTAAAAAATGATAATGTTTTGTGAGCTCAAACTGGAAAAACGGCATTGTTTTTCTTTGCAAAGAGTTGAAATTGTTAAAAAGATATGTATAACAATAGCTTTAAAAATTTAAGATAATAATAAAATAAAGTAAAAGACTCTATGAAGTGAAATTGCGATCAATTTCAAAAATGTTTTTTGACATTCGATCCGATATCTGCGGTCATCGTGTTTCAGCGGTATTGCTTTCAACTGTTTCCATAGRAACCAAAATGGMGGGCGGGTTTGAATTCAGTTTTCAATTTTTTTATCTGAAAGGCCTGCTGTGCTAGAGTGGGCTGAAATGCAAAAATTATCATGGTGGTTGAATATGAATTATTAYATATGCATAAAATGGAGAAATGTAAGTTATAGATCGTAAATGTACACTGATAGATGATGAGCATATAGAGTCTTTT